GGGATCGGATAATTTTTGAGCCATAGGTCTTGTCACTACCGCGCTGCAAGTTTAAGTTAGATTTACAGTAGACAGGTCCTGGAAGTCAAATTTTTGAGACATCAGATCCTTCATCATTTTTGCATAGCCTGGCATTTCCCTCAAAGCATCCATCAGTGGAATATTCAATTGAATTTGTTTAAGCATTTCCATGAATTTCTTGTATTAATCATCTTTATTTTGCTTTTCCAACCTTTGAGGGAATGGTGCAGGAGTTAGCTTCTGCCCACTGCTTGGTGTCTTTTCTTTATTAGGAGTCTTTTCCACCACCTGTTCTGGGAGTTGTTCAAATTCCTTCTCCTTGCCTTTGTCCACTTGTGCCTGTTCAATTACAACTTCTGTGAGCTCCATTGACTCGTCGGTCTCTAATGTCACTTGAGTAATTAGCATTGTGTCTCTCCTAGATTGAGCAACTTCTTGCTCTCTGTCTAAATCCATTCCATTCCTGAGACTCACTGCCATTAGCTGATTTAGGTTCTACTCCTTTGGATTGATGTTTGTGTCTGCAGGCAATGTTTCTTGTGGGCGATTGTTCAAGGCCATAGATAACTGGCCTAATTGAGTTTCAATGCCTTTAATAGCCGAATCATGTGCGACTAAATTTTCTTGCATCATTACATTTGTCCCAATGAGTTGTTGCAGCATGCCCTTAATTTCTATCATATTACTGTCCTGATGTTGATGAGAAGGTTGGTAAGCCAACCGGTGTTGGTGCTGCTGATTGTAGCCATGCTGCTTTTGATAAGTCACGACTTGGCCTTGTGGTCGTGTTCCCCTTGGAATGGTATTGTATTGTTGTTGGGTTGGTCTGTACTGCTAATTTTGAGGTCCCCATTACTGTCCACCTAGCCTCTGACCCCTAAAATTATTGACGTAATTCATGTCTTCTCTGAAGCCCTGGTTATCATTCTCTCCACTCCATGAGCAAACATATGACTGATTTATGCAGGGAGTGCATAGGCCTCCATTTGTCGTATCAACAATATGCACCTATTTCGTACCCATCTCATCACTTTTCTTTGTCAACAAGCTTATCTGGGTCATGAGAGTGGCTGTGTTTTCTGCATTTGTATTGTTTGGGTCAAGAGCAACATAATGCACTATTGGAGTGAGTGTTGTATCTCTCGTCATCCAGTCTGAATTTTGAGCCATCTTGTCAAGAAGAATCTTACACTATGTGAATGTTTTGCTCAAGAATGCACCCCTAGCTGAAGCATCTACATTGGCCTTCAGACCGTCAGCCAAACCCATATAGAATCTATTTCCAAGCATCTGATCTGGGATGCCATGGTGTGGACACTTCACCAGCATACCCTTAAGCCTCTCCCGGGTTTCCTGCAAAGTTTCTGTCGATTTCTGCCTGAATTGCAATATCTCATCAATTTGCCTCGCAGTTTTGTTGGGTGGATAGAACTTGTTTAAGAACTGCTTGACTAGTTCCTCCCAAGTAGCAATGGAGTTTATTGGGAGCGAATCCAGGCAAGTTTGAGCCTCCCCAGTCACTGAGAATGGGAACAATAATAATCTGATTGGTTCATGAGTCATATTCGGCTGTCTTTGAGTGACATAAATTGATAGAAAGTTCTTCAGATATTGTTGTGGGTCTTCGATGTACAAACCAGAGAACAACCCTTTATTATGCAGCAAGTGCAGCATGTTGTTGGTAATCTGAAATGTCTCTTCTTGTATCGGAGGGACTGCAATTGCGGTGGCCAAGTTATCAGCAGTTAGTTGCGCCCAATCATATAGAGCAGCTTCCGGCACAAGAGGTGCTACCACTTTGATGTTTGGGTCAACTCAATCATTCTTATTGTTCTCGTTAATGTTCTCGACGTCGTCCATTTCAATTTCAAATTATTCGTCTTGTTTTAGCTGTTTGCCATTCTTGTTAGCCCTATTCAATGCCTTGAATGTTTTTTTGGGATCTGAGAGTCCTTCAAAAAGTTCACCAGTTCTCAAGGAGCTTCTAGGCATGCACCTGAGTCACAGAAGAGTTCAAACGTGAGAATTTCAATGGAAATATTTTTAACACCACAGAAAATTGATCTAAACTAAAAATCCTAGCAATTCTTCCAAGTTGTAATAAATAACACCGTTAGTTCCCCGGCAATGAATCCAAATTTGATCACGCCCAACTATGCCTTATAAAAAGGACTAAGCAGTCGTTGCAAAAATAATCCAGTTCAAGAGTTCAGAGTCGAATCCCACAGGGAACTAACCTATTTGCTATAACTTTTAGTATCGCTAATGATAAGCTCAGACAATTTTTATAGTTCAAGTTTTTATTTGATAATTAACAGAAATTATTTAACTAAGGAAAAATGACAATAAAAACTATCAATAGGCAAGAATGAAGTTGAATTCAAGGGTAAAAGAATCTAGGGTTATTGATTTTCTCAATTGTCGGATTAATTCCTGACACGTTAGCTATAATCTCGCCGTAACACTCTATAAATATGATGAGTTCTTGCTTACCGTACTTATCTCTCGATCAATTACGATAATTTACTACAAGCATTCTCTCGAACTACTCTAGTTGACAATTTGTACAACTTATAAATATCACACCAAAGCTTCGTTATCTCTAATCCCGCTTTGAAATTCAAGTAATTAATATCTTAACTTACTCGAAAGTGGTGTTGTTCAACAACAATATAATCAAGTGTTCTTTCTCAAGAAACACTAGACAACTAGACAGGATTAATCAAGGGCCCTTTCAATTAATCACAAGAAACACATAGTTGAACAATTATAGAGTAAAAACGGCTCAATTAAATCAAAACGTAATCAAGACTTCATCCAACAATTAGTTCCATCAACCCTAGATGACATGTTTAGCTACTCATACTACTATGCAAGATTACAATATAAAAAGTCATAACCAACAATGGAACTAAGAAGAAGATGATGAAAAACTCATAAGAGAATTCTCCGTCTTACTCCTTTTGTGTTCTTGCCTCCAAAGTTCTTCTTAAAATAGAGATCCTCTCTTTTTTGGGCGAGCTAGGCTTCATATAGATCAAGGTTAGTCACCTCTCAAATTATAAAATTGGCCTTGTACAATTTTTCTCGGAAGCGCGTGCGCGGCCGCGCATCGACCGCGCACTTTGGCCAGTTTCTGCCTGACATGCGCAGCCGCGTATAGACCGCACACCTGGAGGATTTTCTGCAACATTTTTTTTTCTTCTTTTTAAGCGCGCTAACCTCCAATTGGCCTTCAATGCTTCATATTAGCTCCAAAACACTCTTTAACGTCCTCATTGCTCAGAATTGCTCCTGCAAAGAATAAATTTCTTAATTAGAGCAATTTGTTATCATTTAACATTCAAATATCAATAAAGTGCAGCTAAGTTAGAGTGCAACTAGTAGTTAAACTACATAATTATAGCCTACTATCAGCTGCACCATATAAACTTCTTCAATTATCACACCATGTAGGAAAGCATTTTTAACATCAAGTTGTCTGAGATCCCATCCCTTTGTTAAAGCAATTGTAAGAACAACTCGAATAGTTGTTGGCTTAACCACCGGGCTGCATGTATCATGCTAATCAATCCTTCCTCTTGGCTAAACCCTTTTGCCACAAGCCTTGCCTTGTATCTATCTATGGAACCATCTGGCTTCAGTTACAGTTTGAACACCCATTTACACACTACTATATTCTTGGTAATAGAGGAAGGAACTAGTGTCCAGGTTCCATTTTGAATAAGGGCATTGTACTCTTCATGCATTGCCTGCCTCTGCTTGTCATCCTTGAATTCCTTGGTAAAACAAGAAGGCTCGGGTGGAAGATCAGATTTGGGTAGAGGATATTTAGTAACTGTGTTGGCTTGAGGTTGAGCAGTCCTTGTCTTAAAGTGAGTGACCATATGATGAGAAGGAAGAGGAGCTTCTTGACGCGTCTGAGCAGGCGGAGCAGCAGGAAGAAGAGTGGTAGCTAATGTAAGATTTTCTAGAGATAGGACATTTGATATCATTTGTTTGCTAGAAGCGGTGGAAGGTGAACGCAGAGAGAAGCTTGAGGCAAACTAGGACTGCCCAGAGGGTCAATGAAACTTGTGACAATACTAGGATAACATGGTTCTACAACTGGAGGTGAGGAAAGCAAGGAGATCGAAGAACACGACACCGAAGGAGGCTGTGTTCCCTTGGATGCAAAAGGGAAAAGATTTTCATCAAAAATAACATGCCTAGAGATATAAATCCTACCACTGGAGACATGAAGGCACTTGTATCCTTTGCGATTAGTGTTGTATCCTAAGAAGACATACTGTTGTGAACGAAACTGTAACTTGTGATTATTATAGGGTCGCAACAAAGGATAACAAGCGCACCCAAAAACCTTAAGAGATGGATAATCAGGTGTTTTGTTAAATAACTTCCCAAGTGGGAAAATATTATTTAGAATAGGTGTAGGCATTCGGTTTATGAGACACACAGCCAAAAGAAACGCATCATCCCAGAAATGCAATGGAAGAGAGGCATGAGCTAAGAGTGTTAGTCCAGTTTCAACAATGTGACGATGTTTTCGTTCAATTATGCCATTTTGCTCATGTGTATGAGGGCAATAAACTTGATGAGTAATGCCCAATTTTTCAAATAATTTGGAATAATTTCTATGTTCACTACCCCAATCAGATTGAAAGGATTTAATCTTTCTATTAAATAAGGTTTCAACTTGAGTTTTGAACATGAGAAAACATCAATGACTTCATGTTTAGATTTTATAGGATAAAGGCAAACATATCTGCTAAAATCATCAACAAATAAAACATAAAAACAAAATTTATTGCTTGCAAGATAAAGAGCAGGGCCCCATACATCCGAGTGAATCAAATCTAGAGGACTCGTAGAGGATGAACTAGAAGTATGAAAGGGTAACTTATGACTCTTGCCATACTGGCAAGATGAGCAAACACTGCTACTAGAGGTTGTAGAAATAGGTAGATCATGACGATTCACTACTTGTTTACAACTCTTATTGAAGGATGACCTAGACGACTATGCCACAAATCAACAGACGACTTTGATACAAGGAGGGCTTGATGTTGAGAAGAACCTCGGTTAGACTGGAAGCGGGCAGAACACAACGTGTAGAGTCCATGCTCAAGGCGCCCTTGTAGTAGAACCTTCCTCGTTGTCAGTTCCTTTACAAGACAAGTAGTAGGGTGAAATTCAAAATAAATATTATTATATGCAGTAAATTGAGCTACACTTAACAAAAATTTTGTAATCTCTGGAACATGTAATATATTTTTTAGATGAAGAGTTCGACAAGAAGAAGGAAGAGAGGAATCACCAATATGGGCAATTTTCAAACCTGTACCATGCCAATATGCATTTGTTCAAATCCAGAATATTCACCCATAATGTTCATATTGTTCAGATCGTTTGTAAGATGGTTTGTGGTGCCAGAATCAGGATACCAAAGAGGATCTACTACAGTCAAAGGTTGTGCAACATATGCTGAGAGTTGTTACTTATTTCCAGCTTGAAAAGCATGATCAAAATGATGGTAACAATTTGCAGTAGAGTGACCAAACTTGCTACACACTTGACACTAAACTGTAGTGTTTTGATTATATTGTTGGCCACTAAAACCATGACCTCCTCTTCTTGGGCCTCATCCATTACTGCCTGATTGGTACTGATTGGTGGAGTAGTTCCTTTTATTCTCATGCTTGTTCCGACTAGGGTTATGACCAGAGGATTTGGTGGTGAGATTAACCTGTGTAAAGGCTTGATCAATAACAGTAGCTTGTTCCAACCGATACTCATGACTCAATAACAGACCGTTAAGGTCAGTAAGCGTAATAGGCTCAGTTCTGAATGTAACTGAGACAACTAAAGCATCATAATCAGAACCTAAGCCACCAAGGATATGAAGGATCAAATCATCTTCATTGAGAGGCTGAGATGCAACAGCTAGATTGTCTGCTATAGTTTTCATCTTTTGAAGATAATCAACCATCGATTGGGATCCTTTCTTAGTTGTTTGAAGTTGTAGTCGCAATTGCATAATGTGTGCCCTAGATTGCGAGGCAAACATACCTTCTAGGGCTAACCAGACTTCCTTTGATGTGGATCAGCCAACAACCTGCGCTAATACTCCCTCTATAAGTGAAGACACCAGCCAACTCAATAAGAGTTGATCTTATTTCTTCCATGCTAAAAACAATGGATTAACTTCTACATTTGATACCGGTGAAGAATCTGTAAAGGTTTCAGCAGTAGATACAAATTTGGATGGACAGGGATGAGTTCCATCAATGTTTTCCTTTAAATCATAACCTCTTATTGCAGGAAGAACTTGAGATTTTCACAAGATATTGGTTCCCGTAATTCGAGTGAGATTGTCATGGCGCAAAAGCAGATATGGTCAGGTATTCTCTTATTCCCTGTATTGGTTATGTTCTTTATATCTCGTCTAGCAGAAACTAATCGAGCTCCGTTTGATCTTTCAGTTATTCCTATCTAGTTTGATTATGTGAGGATGTGAGAAAGTTGTGGCCAATACTCTGATACCATGTAAAGGTAGCAAATGAGTCGTATATTTCATTACTTGATAGAGGAAGAATAGTCCTCTATAAATACATGTTATACAACAGATTCAATATGAGAGGGACTCTATGAGATCTAGCTTATCTCTATGAGATGTAGTTTATTCCTAACCAACTATATACAATATTTATCTAATAGTTAAACTATACTTATCGAATCCCTAATAGCTCCAAATAAGCTCAAATTTGAAGCATAACTTTTAAATATCATAACGAACAAATCACAATCTTTAAATTTTTAAAACAACAATAAATTTAACAAACCCATTTTGCAACTAAGAAGAAAAAAACCTAAACACAAAGAAGAAGAACGCAGCTGTGAAGAAGAAGAGAAAAATGTATGTATATGAAATTTTCAATAAATTAGGTATTAGTTAAACTTTTTTTTAAAAAGTGGATACAAATTCAATCGGTAGCCCAAAATTGCGCGCCACATGAAAAAGTTTTGATATAAAAAAATGCAGACAACCCCTCATGGTTTGTGGATTTATGTTAAAATAGATTTTTTTTATTTTTTTGGCTCAAAATCTATTTTGTATAACTATTTGAGCCCAAACGCCACATGACTTCATTAGATTTTTTTTCCACATCATTCGTGCGTGAATTTCACGCTATTAATTACTTTGACCGGTTACTAGTGAAGAGTTTAATATGCAGTTTGAACACAGGTCTGGTATTTAATTAAAGTGTCGAAATTTTCATGGTTTTTCCGTAAATTCACAGTGATCAGAAGAGACATGGCGTGACAATGTGGGCCTTGAAAATGCCTCAAAAGTTTTCTTTATTTACTAAACGGAAAGGTCCAAATATCCCCTTGTACTATACGAAATTGCGCACATTTATCATTCGTTAATATTTTAGCTCAAGAATACCCTTACCGTCACATAGTTGGTCCATATATGCTCTTAGAGTCACACAGTTGGCTCATATATACCCTTTTCGAAACGAAATCCACCCAAACTAATTAGCTCTTTCGTTAATTGTATTAAAGTGTATTACAAACACTATTTTCTTTTTATTAGTACTTTTTTTTACCTTTCTATTTTCTTTCTTCTTTTTTCTTTTCTTCTCTTTGTTTTTCTTTCCTTTTTCTTTCTCCCTTATCCGATTTCCTCCACTGTTGATGTCTTCTCCATTTTCGTCACTAATTTCACTTGACAAAACTCATGAATTCCTGCTAAAAGCTTCCCAACAAGAAGGCTCTGGTTCTTCTGAAAAGAACGAGATGAAAATTGTCGGAGAAATTTTTTCGGTGGTGTTAATTGGTATTAGCAGGAATTCATGAGTTTTGTCAAGTGAAATTGATGACGAAAATGGAGAAGACATCAGCAATGGAGGAAATCGGATAAGGGAGAAAGAAAAAGGGAAAAAAAGAGAAGAAAAGAAAAAAGAAGAAAGAAAAAGAAAGGTAAAGAAAAAAAGTACTAATAAAAAGGAAATAGTATTTGTAATACACTTTAATACAATTAACGAAAGAGTTAATTAGTTTGGGTGGATTCCGTTTCGAAAATGGCATATATGGACCAACTGTGTGACTATAAGGGTATATATGGACCAATTATGTGACGGTAAGGGCATTCTTGAGCTAAAGTATTAACGAATGACAAATGTGCTCAATTTCGTATAGTACGAGAGCATATTTGGACCTTTTTCGTTTACTAAATTGTGTGATGGCAATTCACATAATAATATGCAAAAACATGAGCAAATATATTTCCAATGAAGCTGGCTTGTCAACGAAAAGGTGCCTGTTTCACCCGCACTTCTTATATAGTAAAATATTGGGCCCTTTTCTCTCCCACATTATTGTTTCAATTTATCTATCTTCTTTTGGTGTCATTATTTTCTTTCTCCAAAGTTTTGTAAGAAAGAAAAGTTAGAAGGGCACTTCACCAACCAGGTATTTATCAAGTTTACCAAAAACTTGTAAAAGAGTTTCAAAGTTTCGAAAAATATTTGTAACTCTTTATTTATTTATTTATTTATTTTATTTTTACAAAAATTATGAAACAAACACAACTTCAGAATTATTTAAAAAAATGCCAAAAACGTCACCCATTTTCCCTTCCAAATGCCACTTTTAGTTGACCCATTCAACTTTGAGGTTTATTATCCCTATTAAATTTCTGCCGTTATACTTTAAATCATATTTTTTTCTCGCCCATTAAATGATCGGGTCTCACCTTAAAAAAGACACATCACTGGCCTGGGTTAATTTTGGAACCCGATTCATTTTAATTAAACCCACTGACCCATCCAAAACCCTTTTAAAATCTTCTTCTTTACTTCTGAGATAGTTGGAAAATATTCTTTCCATACATTTTGGTTGAGAATAGAAATTAACAAGTGTGACAATCAAACTGGGTGAATGCATCATATCGACCTAACAAAAATTCCAAAAATAACTGTGACAAAGAGCCTTATTGAAATTCTAAGTGGAGGCTTATGTTAGGTGGGGACTTTTTTTATATATAGTTTTTAAAACAGTAGTAATTTTGGGTTTCTGCAAATTTCAAAGATTCTGAAATTTTTTGGAAAATCAACTTTCCTTTTTTTTTTCCGCAAAAATAAATGTAATACCGATTAGTAGGAAAAACTTCAGAATTGAGCTTGCAACCTCAATTTGACAACTTCAAAACAAATGCTAACTTATATCTCCACAAGTTATGAGTGGTAATAAATGAAAATAACGAATTAATTTCTATTGTAACTGACTGGAGAATATGTAAAAATTATAGGAAACTAATAATGCTACCACAAAAAGACATTTTCTTCTTTCCTTTTAGTAATCTTGGACAGGTTAGCTGGACAAGAATATTACTGTTTTCTTGGTATTTTTTTAGTTATAATTCGATTTCTATTTGCTTTCACGAACAAAGAGAAAACGAACTTCACTTGTCCATATGGCACTTATGCATTTAAGAGAATGTCATTCGGATTATATAATATACCGGCAACATTTTAAAGGTGTACGATGACTATTTTTACTTTTATGTTGAGAGATTTGTTGAGATTTTTATGGATGATTTTTATGTGTTTAGAGATGGCTAATTAGAGAATGCCACTAATTTATGGAGATGGAAGCTATTTTGCATGACTGCTGTATATCATCATGGTGGCGGTTAAACAGCCGCAAAAGTGTTGCAATCGGGTTTTTATTGACTAAAATGGTTCAATAAGGCACACACATTTGTAAAAAAAGTGTGATAGATGTCACAGAACAGGGACAATTACAAGAAAGTATGGAATGCCTTTGCAAGGTATTCATGCGGTAGAAATATTTTGATGTATGGATTAATTTTATGGAACCATTACCATATTTGTTGGGCAACAACTATATTTTATTAGCAGTTGACTCTAGTATATTTTATTCGCAATTGGCAATGTGTCTAAGTGGGCAGAGGTTGTTATTCTCCCTACTAACGTATCACGATCCAAAATTATATGTGTTGTGATGGCGCCTATCGCGATACTAAGCAAGCCGACAACTCACAAATAACAAGCATCTATAATTTAAACATACTGAAATAGGCTAATTAAATAAGATCTCATAATAACTGGAAGACAAACACCGCAACTCAATACAGAATTCTCCAAAATCAGGATGTCACTTAGTACATGAGCATCTATACAATAACGTGGCCTGAATGCGGAAACACTGCCTAGAAAGATAGAACGGTATAAATGAAACTAAAGTAAAAGGAGGAGAGTCAGGGTCTGCGGATGCCAAGGCAATTATCTCGATAGTTTCTGAACTGAATAAGCTCCAACACTAGCAACCTCCATGTCCGAAAGTACCTGGATCTGCACACGAAGTGCAGAGTATAGTATGAGTACAACCAACTCAATAAGTATCGTAAATAAACACGGCAAGGTAAGAGAAGCATAAATTATTAATGATACTAGCTATCACTTGTGTAGTTCCATCTTTTAAACCTGCACAGAACAATATTGAAAATTAACTCATCAAGTTTCGTGAGAAAACAGTCTGTGTGTGCATGTGTATAGTTTCTCAAATACTCTGCTCAAACAATATTATAGCTGTCACGCCCCCTTTTTTCGAAGATAAAGGAGTTTTTCCAATTAAAATGAGATTATTTATTTAATTAGTGTCGCCACTTGGAATAATTGTTATGGTGTCACAAGTCACCGATTTGTTTTAAAATTTCAAATCGAGGAAATTGACTCTATGTTAAGTCTGCGAAACACAGAAGACCCCGATAAGGAATTCTGTTAATCCGGGAGAAGACATTGGGCATTCACGGATTCCGTGATTTTAGCACCGTGGCTTTAATCATACCTGGCTTAATTAATTATTTAATTACGTAATTTTAGAACCTATGTCCATTTTACCTTTTACCGCTTTTAATTATGGCGTTATGAAATTATCTTGAAATGAACCACATGTGCG